CTTCACGATCCGATATATCAATAACACACTTCCAACTCGAAAGAACCTATCAAAATGGGGACTATCATCAACATCCGATTGCTCTTTCTGCTCCTCACCTGAAACACTGCTCCATGCGATTGCTGGATGTAAGACATATTTAGACGAAGGCCGGTTTACATGGCGACACGATTCTGTTTTAAATTTCCTCGCATCCACTCTTACTGCTGTGAAAAATTCCACACTTTACGCGGACATTCCTGGTTTTATGAATCCATCTGTTATCACGGGAGATCGTTTACGACCTGACCTTCTGCTGGTGACTGAAAACAGGTGTCTATACATCCTTGGGCTTACAGTCGGTTATGAATCCAATCTGCAAGTTAACGCCAATCGTAAGCGTCAAAAGTACCGTTATCTAATCAATGAGCAGGAAGCTGATTATGATAAAGTCAAGTTCGTCAATTTATCCTTGAGTACCCTCAGAGGTTTTGGCCGATCTTCTGAAAATTTCGATGGCATGCTTTGTAGCCTTAAATGTGATGCCAAGTATAGTAAATACATAAAAAAGAAAATCGTGAACATATGCATACGAACATCATATTATATTTTTTTTGTAAACGAAACAAGGTGTGGGATAACCCAAAATTAATGTTAATATAATCCTTCTTAAAATAATTATTGTACAATAAATATATAGTATCAATTCAAGTAGACATTGATAAACTACCTGTAAAGCGAGGTTTATCATTGTAGTTGTATATATCTTAATAATCAAATAATAAAGTTTCCATTGTTATTATTATTATTATTAATATTATTATATTAAAAAAAGAATTATTATATTAAAAATATATAAAAAAATATATATAAAAAATAAATAAAAATATATAAAAATAAAATTATATTTAAAAAATAAATATATTATTATTATTATTATTATTATTATTATTATTATTTTCCGAAAGACGAGAAATGCTGGATTATTGTTAAGCCCGAAAAGGAAGAAAGTGTGAGAGAAGTCTTCCATGGAACGGATATCAATATAACAGTGCATGGGCTGAAACATCTGGGAGCAGCGCTAGGTTCACGAGAGTATCTGGAGGAATATGTCAATGAGAAGGTCTCTAATTGGGTCAACGAAGTAACAGAATTAGCCGAATTTGCACTGTCCCAACCACAAGCGTCCTATGCCGCATACACATTTGGTTTGAAACATCGTTGGACCTACTTCCTAAGAACCCTGCCAGACATCCAGGACCTACTAGAGCCACTCGAAAAGGCAATATCTCAGATTCTCATCCCCGCTATCACAGATCACCAGTGCAATCCACACGATCGGGACATTCTAGCACTTCCAGCACGTCAGGGTGGCCTGGGCTTGGAAAATCCAAGTCATGAGGCAGAACGTCGGTATGTGTCGTCAAAAAGAGTGACAGCACCCCTTGTTGATCAGATTGTAGCGCAGTACCATCAGCTACCCGACGAGTCGCATATAAAATCAGCTCAACAAGCCGTTAGAAAAGAAAGAGTGCAAGAGTGGGAGGAGAGGGCAGAACGTATTAGAGAGAGTGCACCACCAAGAATTCAGCGTATATTAGATGTGGCTTCGGAAAAAGGATCATCTGTGTGGCTCACAGCACTTCCTCTAAAAGAGCAGGGATTCAACTTGAATAAGAGAGAATTTCGGGACGCCGTAAAGCTGCGCTATGATTGGCCAATCGACGACATCCCCTCCATATGTGTATGTGGGGATACCTTCACGGTCGACCATGCCATGATTTGCAAACGTGGAGGCTTTGTAATTATGCGCCACTATGAGTTAAGAGATCTGGAAGCGGAACTCCTCAACATTGTCTGTAGTGACGTCCAAGTTGAGCCTGTCCTACAAGACATCTCGGGAGAGCAACTAAATGGAGGCTCCAACAGAGCACCTGATGCTAGACTCGACATTCGTGCCCGTGGGTTCTGGGAAAGTCAACGATCAGCCTTTTTTGATGTAAGGGTTTGTCATCCCAATGCTGATTCGTACAAAAACCTGGAGCTACGCCAAGTCTACAAGATACACGAAAACGAGAGGAAGCGCCTATATGCAAGGAGAGTCCTCGAAATAGAGCAAGGAACATTTACGCCACTCGTATTCACCACCACAGGCGGTATGGGCAAAGAATGTGTGAGATACCATAGTCGATTGGCAGAGTTGGTAGCCATGAAGAAAGGCGAAGATTATGCGACAACTATGAGTTGGATAAGAGCCAGAACCTCATTCGCTTTATTGAGATCGGCACTTACCTGCTTGAGGGGTTCAAGGGCAAGGAAAATCATGTATGATATTAAGAACATTGATTTCAACATTGAGAACGCCGATAGTGCTATCTCTCAAACATTTTAGACTGTACATATACAAAGTTTAGTTGTTTTAGTTATTTAGCGGAATATCTTAGTTTAGTTATTTAGCTACTTAGCGGTAAATATTTTAATTATGTAGCGGTATATGTTCCAGAGTTTGTTTTTAAAATTTAACTGTAGATATCAACAAACATTTAGACACTTTTTTAATTATACCCAAAGAACAGATTATTTAATATAGTCATTGATAACAAAAGAATTATTGTATATAATGAAATGATGAATAAAGTTGTATTATTTAAATAAAGTTTACTCAATAATATATGGACATGGATTTGAAATTGCCAGATGTGCCCTTTCAAATTGACAAAGCTTTAATTGAAGGCAATGTTACACGTCGTTTCGTCGTTACATAGCCTGCGTGGCAGGCCCTCAAATTTATGGGGGGCCTGATTTGCAGCGGGCAGGATTTTTAATCTTGCCCGTTGCAAATCAGGCCCCCCATAAAACTTAGGGCCTGCCACGCAGGCTAGTCGTTACACAAACCAACGCCGGCACAGACTAAAGATCAGTAAAGCCTAGTTTCCATTTGGTCGTTAGTTGTCGCTGGCACGACAAGTAGCTGATGTAATAGAGTGTCAACAAAAAACTCTGCAATCATTAAGACTGATTTGCATATCACACAAAAGACTATTATTATATTAGACTATTTCACATCTACCGCTTGTCGCGTCAGCGACAACTAACGACCAAATGGAAACTAGGCTTAACAGAAGGGCCACTCAGCGGTGCACGTGTCCTCGTTTTTTTATGCAAAAATATGCAGTTTACTGGCAAGAAGGCGGAGCAGCCAGCCAGTTCAGCGTGTTTATTGGCCAGAAAATGTCATTGACTGGCTAGGAAAATGGCGGCCAACACGCGTAATGCGACATGCGCGAGGACAGAAACTTCAAAGCTTCCGACGTAAGTGGCCCTTCTATATGGATCTTTATTCTATGGCAATGGCCATGCAGCTTGGAATCCAATTTTTGTTTTGAGCGAAATATTGCAGGGAAAATTCAAATTTCAAATAATCTGCGAAACTATAACCTCAAGTTTTAAGACTAGCTAAGACGTGGGGTGTGCTAATCAATAATCATTCTTATTTCCAGCTGAGACGGCTATTAAGCTGAACTATACAAAGAACGCAGCTCAAACTGATCGAGTCGCAGTGTTACTAAGGGCGTCTCTGGCTGACACCGCTGTAAAACTGATGTCTGATCACGGAGCACAGTAGACTTGCCACAAGTCGACCTTGAACGAAAGGCAAGCAGCGAGCGCGAGTGGCAAGTCCAGGAGCACAGCTACGATGGAAGGAGTAGTTTGGGGGTATATCCCAACCCACCCTGTCAACATTCCCTGTGGGATGAAACCGGAGTATAGACTTTCGACAGAGCGATGCTGACTCTTCCAGAGTCCCTCAAATTTTTTTGACAAAAATTAAGACCAGGCAGACCCAAATTTACAGGCGCTTGCGGGTTGGAACATTAAGACTCAAAAGCCATGCATATGCATATGTAGCCTTGACCGATTCATTTCATCTAAGTGTCGTGAGTCGACAGCGAGAATCGAGCCCATATAAATCTCACAGGTGAAAGGCGCTTGTTCCGACGAAACTTTATAGTCATAGACGGGAGAACAGGGTTTGAAGCGATATTTGCAAGCGAGGCAAAAGATACAAGCCACTAGTTCTAGTAACATGTGGTGTTCTCAAACTTCGAGTTTCACGGAAGAATCTTTGTCTCAAAACACCGTCTTGAACACAGAATCAAATTACTTGTTTCGAAGAAATAATCATGCATTCCAAGAATCGAGAACTCTCGTACCTGACAAATGAACGAAGGTTGGAGATTCCTAATACACATCAGATTGTTGTCTAGTATTGAATACGAAGGCGAACATTAGAACCAAATGACGTTAACCTAGGACGATATGATAACATAAATAGAGGTTGTTAATAATCAGTTATGCATGGCAATGCCTAACCTGCGATCAGGCCTATGGCAATGCCAGGCTTGCCCGATTGGCAGCATAACACACTTACGCCTATATTCTAAAAGCTCACTCAAAGAGTGGAGGTTCAATCAGCTGAGCTTCTGTGACTGTCAGTTCTGTTTTTGAATAGCTGGAGGGTTAGTGTCGTACCTTACTATGCGACTACTCACCCTCCAGCTATTCAAAAACAGCACTGACAGTCAAGAGAAGCTCAGATTGAACCTCCACTCTTTGAGTGTGAGTGAGCTTTTAGAATACAGGCGTAAGGGTCTAAAGTACATTCCGAACGTCGTGAAATCGACATCTCGTAAATGGCCAACGTTTAATTGGTCTGCGGGAAATTACGATTATCCAATAATAGTTTAACATTTTAGCAGTGATAGGTGTGGGAATGAAATCACATTCCTGAATAGAAGACTCGATTTTTCGGACGAGATGAACACTGTAAAAATATATTGGTTAAAACAACCAAGAAATTGGTTCATTTTAAATGTGAGACAATTAATTTTCGGTCGTTTTAACCAATTTATTTTCACAGAAAAGCGTGCACGGTTTCGGGAACATCATGGAGACTCTCGTAAGTTTAAACAGTGGTCAATTTGAACGGTACAAATACTAAGAATTTGAACACAATTTATTGGATACATACGATATGCAAGTTATCACAAGATAGCATTGTTATCAAATATTGAACTGTGTTTGTACATGGAAATTTCGAGCAAAAACTAAAATATATTTTAATACATTATTTACATTCAACTGCAGTAACCTTGTCCGTTATCTTGTTTCAAGCGTTTCTAAAATTATTCCGAGAACTAATTGTCAAATTTAGATCATTCCCATGTGCCCGGAAAACAGATATTATTGATACATGTTTACAAATGAAGATGGATTCAGTGTTAATAGAGTAAAATCTCGCATATATAAGAACCTAGCAGATTTAGAACCTACAGCCTGAAACTTGCCATTTAGACACCCATTTTTTTTTTATCAGAAACCGAATTCAGACTGAAATTTGAAAAAGTTTCTAGTCAAATAGCTATGTGTGCTTGAATCTTATTTTTATAGAGTGCAGACATTAGAGTCACGAAATACAACTTAATACGCGGGATTTTACTGTAATTATATACAGTACATGCATGATTAACATACAACTGCGGTACCGAGGTATCTTGCTTCCTTCATTTCTGGAAGTTCTTCCCAGGTGAAGCGATCAAACCTAAAACTTTCTACGGACTTTAAATAATTTCCTCTTTCATCTACGCCTCCCATGACAATCACAGTGTCTCTGACAACTGCAGCCACACATCCTTTCCTCTTATACTTCATGTCTGGTAACACGGAACTATTCTGGGACTTAATGTTGTATATTAACACTTTGTTCAATGGTTTATTATAAATGTCAACTCCACCCATTATAATAACATTATCATCACCCCACTTGACTGCGGCCATTTCACTCACGGGGTAAGGCAGCGGTGCCAACTCCTTACATTCGTTCTTAGCAATACCATACAACAAAACACTTTTAAGATTTGTGCTATACTTCGAATCTTTTCGCCCTCCAAGAATTAATATCTTACCACCAAACAATACAAGACAATGTACCCACCTTGTTTGTGGCATGGTAGCCAGCACCTTACTGGAAGGTGGAAAAAGGGAAACCTCAGTAATACTATCAGAATATCCACGTTTATCAACATCAGAACCTCCAATCACTATCAACTGCCCATTACAAACTACATTGCAGTGTCCCCACATTCGCCCAGGTAGCTCAGCACGAACGTTTTCCCAAGTTATGGACTGGTCAACTTCAACAGCATTCATTGATAATTTCTCCATTGACTTGATCGCACGACCGTCACAATAACCTCCAGTGACAAAAACTTGATCGTTGTAAACAACTGAAGATGCCACTTGACGGCGCTCTTTCATTGATTGTAGTGGTTCCCACGTTGACTTTGAGAGACTGAACATTTCCACAGAATTCAAAGTTACGCCACCAACGGCAACGCCCCCAGCGACAACAACCTTCGGCTCTCTTTCCATTCCATCAGCTTCTGCAGTTCCTTTCTTTTCATGCTCTTGCTCAGTCTGAACTTCATGCGGTGTTTGTTGCGTCATTCTTCCCAGTAGTTTTGTCATTTCGTTTAAACTTTTCTTCATTTCTACATTGTCTGCCTGAAGCTGACGATTGCTTTCTTCCTGCTTGTTAAGTTGCTCTTGAACTTTTGCAACCACATTTGCTTCCACTGCTTTGACGTTTATCTGATTTATATCCAACTTTTCATCAACTTCCTTCAACTTTACACTCATTGCGGCCAAATTAACTTTCACGACATCCATCTCCTGTCGTATGTCATTACAGCTGTAACACTGAACTCTGCGTAGTTGACACACAACTGTTTCATGGTGCGGCAAATCTTGTTTATTAATTTCAAGTCGACAACCTTCGTTAGAGCAGACTGCCGGGGCAAACCCACAGTCTGTGACATGCCTGTCCAGACTTCCTAACTCGATAAACTTTTCACAACCACGGTTAAAGAATTTGCAATGAATTTTCAATTCCGACAGTAAATTCATTACGGTCCGCGATGGTTGGCTCAAAGTGTTGACGGTGAGTGGTTCCGCACACGAAGGGCATGTCTGGGAATTCATGAGATGTCTGGTGATACAAGCTCGGCAGAACAGATGCTCATTATGACGACACATAACGGGCTTTTTAACAACATTATAACAAATACCGCAATGAAAGCTCGGGCCGACTGGATGTTGAAATAGTTCGTCTTCATAACCAGTGTCGTACGACGCCATTTTCTATTCACATCAAGAATTTAAAGCTGTTTATAAGCTTATAATAAGCATCTTGAGAAATATAAGAAAACAGATGTTAGATATGGTGTTGTACCAATATTCAAACTCATGAGTAAATTAACCAAACTTAAAAACTCTTTAATTAATAATTCATGATGAAAAGACAAGGTTTTACACGTGATAAAAATCATGTTTATTTACATAAATTTTGTTCTTGATTTTCTGGGCTTAGACAACGTTGACTTTTAAAATTATTTCGCCAATGAACTCATAAGATGGGTCGTTTTATATATTTTTTAAGCCATTCAAAACACTCGCAGTCCGTTCTCTTTCTCGGCCGTATACCAGTGGACTCGTCTCACTTCTCTCTTCATTTTGATAGTATTTTGAGCCCAAAAGCCCCAAACATTTTATTTTGATCGTTTGAAAGCGCACTTTAATCCTAGCGTACGGACCAACTGGCGGTTGACAGAAGAATGTAGGCGGAAACGCCGGAAGTTTTACTTTGTAGGGCACCGCATTTTACTGTGTCTCGTTCTATAAAATCCTGAGATGGGGTCATTATACTAACAAAAACTTCAAAACTGAGCCACCTATCTACAATACAAACGAATTCGAAAAAACCGAGAAAACGAGAGCGGCAGCACTCTCCCCTTGACAAGCAAAATCGGCTGGTATGAGACATTAAAATAATAACGTAGGGTGCATTGCCATTGGGGCACAATACTCAAGAATATAATCTGTGTCAAATACTGTAAGTTGTGAAGGCAATTCTGTAAACAATAAAACGATTGCCGTGGTAAACATGATAAGTTTGAATATAGTTCACCAAAAACTATTCTATATAAGCGGAATTTACATGTTTTCCGTGTCAGGACTAGTGGCGGAACTTCACGGAAAATTGACAAATTTTCCGAAATTATGACCTAAAAGAGGGCTAAAAACAGTCTTTTCGAGTGCAAATGAGGGGGAGGGGGGGGGGGCTTTGTCGGAAATTTGAAAGTTTTGTCGGAAATTTATGAGGCTTTGCCCCCAAACAGAGGAGCAAAAGCAGCATGAGCTCCACCTTTGAATTTACTATATGAGTAAATTCTTAAACACGTCCGAACTTATCATTATGATAAATTCGCGGCAAATTTTGAATTTATCATAATAATAAATTCGCGGCACCTAACACTAACCCTAACCCCAAACCTAACCACTAACCCCTAACCACTAACATAACCCCTAATCCTAATTTTTTAAACTTTTTAAAATTTTTTAGCTTTTTTAAAAATCTAACTTTTTAAAATTTTCTTGCTTTTTAAAACTCTTTTAAAACTTTTTTTAAAAACTATTTCTTTAAAAAACTTGGAAAGCTCCCCACCCCTTCGCGGCCGGCCTCCCTTTTAGTGCCATTACATTTATAACATGCAAGGAACCTTGTGCAATGATTGTGGTTTTATGATTAACTCTATTGATAAATTCAAAATGTGCCGCGAATTTATATAAAATTCGGACGTGTTTAAGAATTTACTCATATAGAAAATTCAAAGGTGGAGCAGCACATGTTGAGCAAAAGACGTTTCCGCCATGCATTGCCATCGATTTCCTTTTTCAGTTTGCGTGGTGCACAGCATGTTTGTTTTCGCGTGTTGTGATATATCGCTTTTCTTCTGGCTGTGTGCATTTTGTTTCAGAAAGTTTTTGCTTGTATGGATTTTTTCTGTTCTTCCCTCACCAACCCCGTGACTTTTCTAAAAAATCCGGTTTTCCACCAGGGAATTTGTGAAATGGCCATGCATGGCACACCCTTTATTGGCGAATTTGTAAAATGGCCATGCGTGTCACACCCGAAATTTATTATATCAGACTCAGACGAGCTCCCTAGATGGGGGGGGGGGGAGGGTGAATAGGTCAGTTCGGATCGTCGGATTTCACAGAAAAAATTGTTCGGATTTCGGATCTGGCGAATATTTTACACGGATTTGCGGATCTTATTAATACAGCGGATTGCGGATTTATCTAATATTTTGGCTCGGATTGTGGATGTAGCTTGCAATTTAGTTCGGATCTCGGATTGTGACTTCATAGTAGAGCTTTTAGCAGATTCAAATTTAGACAAGAACATTGTCTGATCCAGTGTCGGATCGCGGATTTTGCTTCAAATTTGGGCGGATCGGCGGATTTGTATACCCCTATTTACCCCCCCCCCCCAGATTATATAAGGTTATTCAGTTCGGCCATATAAAGTTCGATATAAAATGTGTGAAAACCAGCATTAATTAGTGTCTTCTTTGTGCCTATCGTGCTTTTGAACCAGTTAAACATAATTTGTGACAAATTATGCACTCATTCCACGAAAATTAATTTATTATATATTTATATAAACATAAGTGTTATATAGAGATTTTGGCCACTGAGAAAAATCGTATTTAAACACACGTAAAAAATACGATATTTTTACGTGTGAAAATATCATTTATTGTAAAAACGCATTGCCACGGACATTTTATTGTTTTCACTGAATTTTGTTTATATAATAAACAGAAAAATACATGGGTGCTTGGAAATACCAGATTTATTTCTCGTGTTGAACATGATATCTCACTCGTTCGCTGCGCTCACTCATGAGATATCATGTTCAACACTCGAAATAAATCTGGTATTTCCGCGCACCCATGTATTATTCTCTATATATCACCTGTTTTAGTTAAATATTAAAGAAAATCAGTACTGCACAAAATCTCATTTATCACTACACATATTGGTTATCACTGCACCTTAAAATAAGGGACAGGTCATTATTTATGGTGGGGGGTGGCACCGAAGAGAAATGTTTTTCATGGCAAAAATTTTGCTGACCCAACCATTAAAAAGTAAAAAATTTGATTACCCAACCTCAAATATCAATTAAAAAATAAATACTCACCCCTGGCCAAAAAAGTACCATTCAGTTGTCACACATGTCCCTTGCCACTTCTGTGACACGAGTTTGATAACGGATTGTGAATTTTTTGCAGACTAAAGTTTCATGTTGCCTGCACATGTACTTTCTTTGGAGACACCACTTGTCTCCCAACAAATTGAAAAACAGTGATCAAGATAGTGACTCCGATTGATTCACATATTGTATTGACATATGACTGTTGACATTGCTTTTTAGTCTCCAATATTTCAGTGAGTCATGCTTTGGAAATTATTATTACCCAACCCTTGAGTTGTTTTGTTTTTCATTTACCCAACCTTTTACTCACTCAAAATTTTGTTTACCCAACCCTTTTCTCTTCGGTGCCACCCCTTGCCATAAATAATGACCCGTCCCTAATCCCTGATGAAGTAGACGGCAGCGAGGGCAATGATAAGCATTTTAGGCATAGATATCTTATATACACTAGATAATGCATCTCTTTTAGTAAAATTGAAGCCAATAATATTCCAGCGGTTTATACCCCTATTTGAATAGATGGCGGTCATGTTGGTCGTTCCCACTTGCTAATAAACGCTTAAAAACAACAATAACTTTCATCATTTGAATAGTTTAAAAACGTATTTGCAAAAGCAGGTTGCACGCGACACTTTTTGGGCAAACGTTGTGTAGTGCTAGCCTCCTCCACAGGCAACTCTGTATTGTCAATATCAAACTTTGGAAATCAAACTTTGGCCGAGCTTCAAGAGCGAAATAGTCTTAGGCCCAAAAATACAGAGTAGAGTACAAAACAATAGAGTTGCCTGCGGAGGAGGCTAGTGTAGTGTAGTGTAGTGTATTAAAATTGGCCTTTATGGAACCATGGTGATTGTTGAAGGATTAATAATTAGAAATTAGTGATTAATTACAGTGTTTACACAAGCTCGTGACTCGATGACCTTTGCAAGTTCCGTGCGCATAGCAACAAGAAAGCTGTCTGGTTGTCTGGAAATCGACAAATCATCTGAAGGATTAAACTATTTGAACGCAATAATTTTCTGTAAACTTTTCGACAATGGCGAGATTATATGGGATAAAATGGCCACGTTTAACGCATCTTTGGATCAAGCTATTTTTGCAAAGATAGACGATTCTTTTTCCGTGCCAATATTTGTTTATACTGTCGCACTAAAAATACAGACTATTTTATGATATTGCAAGAATTTTAAGAATCTTTTATATAATTTGATGGATTATAACTCATCTGATCGAAGGTAGGAACATTTGGTTGCAAAAGTGTTTATGGCTTCATAGATTTTATCTATTTAAATGGCTAGTATGATAATAGTTTGTTAAAAAATTTAGATCAAAACAGAGAGGCAAGTCAAAAGGACTGTCCAGTCATGAGCAAAAAGTAAAACTATGGAAAGATCGTAATCAACAGTTGCCTCTTTTGAAGAAAATCAAAGCTGCGCCTTCGTTGAATAAAACTGTAAGTTCATATCCTGTGTACTTGTATAAAATTACAAGTAATTTGCAGGCAGGTCTGGAAATGACTTGTAAAATTAATATGGGTCACTCTACATGATCAGAGATTAGATACCAATCATACCATAAAATTATATTTAATTATATCTATCTGATGGTGATGGATAATTTTTATGAATTTTATCCAAACACTGAGTATCATTAGAAATTTTCTTGGTTGGGCTAGTTATACCTGTGCTGTACCCATGCAGGTACGATGTGTGGTAGTTTAGGGCTTCGGTGGCAAAGTGGTTATAGCGCACTTGCCTTTCAATCACTTCTTAAGGTCACAGGTTCAAATGTCAGTAAGAACTTTCCCAATGCAACTCGAATCCAGTCCTCATGTGAAAAGAGCAAAAGTCAAGTGAACGCTAGTGCCGAAAGTCGTGGGTTTTCTCTGGGTACTCCGGTTTCCTCCCACAGGGAACGTTGACTGGGTGGGTTAGGTAAAAGGGCCCAAAGTAATTGGCAGATATGCTGTTGTGGTGACCCTGCCCTAGTTGGCAAAACTAAACAAATAAAACCACTACAGCCATCCTGTTCGGCGTTCGGCTCGCTGTACTCACATGTCATATGCAACGTACACTAGAGATGCAGGCACATAAACATATATTATTATACAGATGTCCATCTCTTGTTAGCACCTTGGATGTCAGTGTATCACGCCATGATTTGCAATCGCAATGCTGTTGCCGTGTTCCTAGCCAGTGTACTAAGAAAAGGTCATCATCCCTCTGAAAACATTCAAAATGGCCGGCTTAATTGCTTACAGTATACATTCAGGTTGAGTGCCCTGGCTAGGAACATATGGGAACAGCGTTGCATTATAGCGAATCATGGCCCGGCTGCGGTTACAGGTTCTTGGCTGAGTTAACCTCTGTATATGTGTCAGTATTCTTTGTCTACAAGTCATATATTTGGGGTTTGTCCAAAGTTAAACATTTTAATTGGCAAATGAAACCAATATTATAATATTAGATGCTTTTATTAGGCTACATTTAATAATTAATTAAGCCACAATATTTGCTTTACTTTGTTATTTTATTCAATCTGATGGCAGACCATTTTACTTTCAATGGGGCCGAGTATATAGTGCATAGTCAATATTAATCCATAAATCAGCAATGGGCTAAAGTGTGCCAACCTCATTATTATTTTACCCCGTCTAACACCAGACGTTTTACTCGTCAAGAGGAGAGTCTAATGTTCATCAATGGGTTATCAAAACTACAGTATCTGCCAATGTCTCCAGCTGTTAACCCATCGAACAGCAATGTCCCCAAGTACTTTTAATATTATAATTTTACTCTGTCTAATGCCAGACAATTTTGCTCATATCAAGGGGAGAGTCTTGCACATTAATGAGTTATTTTAGAGAATTAATAAAATATAATTTAACAAGTGGAGAACTGCAACAACTATCCAAAAATATGCAAGAAGTTACTATTGAAAATAGCATCACCTGGTGTTAGACATTAATCTATTGAGTGGCAGCTTGACAATTAGGCGTAAAAAAAAAATACCTGTGGTTCCCGTTCCCGACCGACCCTATTTTTTTCTGCCGACCCTATTATTTTTTCAACGCGATTGACCGTGCGACCCTATTTTCTCCAGGTGGTTGCGGGCTGCTGCCAAAATGGCGTCTGTAGTCACACTAATTATTGAACCAAATTGCCTAAATTCGTCCATAGGAAATACGCATCTCTAGTTAATATTGATGTCGAGACTCTACTGCAAATCGCCCAGCAAAAAACCGCCAAAACCATGAAAAAAATATTCAAAAAAAATCTTTATTTCCGACCTACCGACCCTAATTTTTTCACGATATGAAACCGGAACCATGTAGGTATTTTTTTTTACGCCTTAAGTAAAATGCTGTAATCTGGCATTTGACAGCTAGAGTAAAATAATAATTAAAGTAGGTCACATTAGGGCACGCTGAGTGATGCAGCTTAATTGATTCATTAATTTTACACAAAGTACTCAGTACAGTAAAATAACTTAAATAATTAAGGAAGACCACATTTGTGATATGTATACAAATTTGTATTATATACAAAATATAAGGCGTAAAAAAAAACCCTGTGGTTCCGCCTGTTCCTGACCGACCCTATTTTTTTCTGCCGACCCTATTATTTTTTCAACACAATTGACCATGCGACCCTATTTTCTCCAGGTGGTTGTGGGCTGCTCATACATAGCGTGCCAAAATGGCATCTGTTGTCACACTAATTACTGAACCAAATTGCCTAAATTCGTCCATAGGAAATACGCATCTCTAGTTTAATATTGATGTTGGGACTCTTACTGCAAATCGCCCAGCAAAAACCGCAAAAACCATGAAAAAAATGTTCAAAAAAAAATTTATTTCCAACCTACCGACCCTAATTTTTTCACGATATGAAACCGGAACCACAGGGGTTTTTTTTATGCCTAAGCTAGTACATAATCTACTGTGCTAATATCATACACTTTATTTTCTCAGGGACTAAAAGATCCATTTAAAAAGATCCCCACTGCAAAGAAGCTTGTGAAAGAAAGTTATTTTGGGTAATTGTTATAATAAAATCACTTTGCCAGTACCGGTACATATAAAGTTTGCCAGTGCATATAAAGTGCATTGTCAATGTACTGGGATCTTATCCAAACAATATTTTAATCACGATATATTGGTCTGAAAACTCTAGCTGTGTGTTAAGCCCATTTTCCACTTGTCGATTTGTTTGCACAAACAGTAAAAAAAGTAGGAACTGATCCTACCTTTCCAAGCCAATTTTTTCGCTGACCAATTAATCACATTGCCAGGATCGCTCCTCTTGTCGCTTCGAATCCTGACTTTTAATAAATGTAGCTTTCAAGACTAAATACCAGACTTTTGGACGTTTTGCCAATAGAATAAACTTTCATATGGCAGCCATTTATGAATGTGGTCTAGTCAGGCCTTAAAACTACATGTACATATTAAAGCAAGGAGATACAACAATTTGTTGCAATTATGTGGTAATAAACAATTACTGAACAGTATTTGTTGCAATTAATTATGAGGTAGTAAATGTCTAAAAATGACATTGACAGCAACATTTCAAAACTGTAACATCAGACATTACTAGTTTTGAAAACCACCCCAAACTTTGGCATAACGTTATGTAGTTTGGCAGTCAAAAGTGAAAGTCATTGTCATTTCACATTAAACACGTGCATACACCTACCGTGTTTGCACAAATATTTTCGGACGAAAGATTGCCCATACCTTATTTGATGTCTTCTACAATATTAACTTCTACCAGACAAGCAGATTTACGCCATTCACAGAACATGTATCTCTTTATATCACTTCGAAAAAGCTTGTGCCTCGTGCACCTCGAAAAACTAGCCCAAGAATATCCCTGAAAATCCATATAAAACCCCTAAAATACCCTTACAAATTCAGTGAAATCCCTAAAAATATCCGGAAATCCCTAAACATCTCTGCATATCCCAAAGTTTTGGAAACATTCCAAATAACGACCTGGAAAAAAATCCCGGAAATATCCCACCGGATTTTCAAAATCCCTAAAATTTCGTACAAACATTTATGAATACCCTGCGTTATTGCGTACAGAGTGACGCATTTGAGGGTGTTTAGTAGTGTTAGTTTAGTAGTGTCTGCGCATCAGGGCAACATTTTTTGGTGATGAACGATGTCTTTTTAGACTTTTTATCGCTGTATCATGGTTAAAACTTTATCCCTCAAAATGCCTGCTCAAAATGTAAAGATCCATTGCGGTACGCACACGAAGTTAGGCGTCGCTTTATGTTCGATGTGTGTGTTTGTTTAAATAGTCTGTTTATAGTTACTTAGTTTGTTGGTTTGTTCGGAATCACAATGTTGCTATTTATACCCCTATGATGTATTTACGACAGGTTTAAGCCACCAACATACTGTTTTGCGCATGCTCCTGAGCATCATGACTAGAATGATTGTCTGGTTCGTGAACAGTATCATAATATAGCTGCATGCAATATTTTATAAACATTTTGTTACTTCAAACGTTAGGCTAGGGGTAAATTAGGTGAGGCGTTTAGGTAACCAGTATCCTGTTATGCACAGGGTCTAACGTTATTTTTTTAAATATAGTATCCCTCAGTATCACGGTGAAAAGACAAGACCAATTCAAAAGGTGAAAGAATATTACCACTACTAAAATCTGTTTTCTGCAGTCTGTCGATCGGTTTTCTCTAAAATTGTTTGATCAATAGAAAAATGCAAAAATATAGAAAAAGACACTCAACGTGTGTTTCCCAAATAAAATTATGTGACAGATTTAACTTTACCAAAAATGGCGTTACCGTTGCTTCTTTCGAGTTAAATTAAGTTAAAGGGAAAAAATGGGCTATCTTAAAACGTCATGGTTACCATAGCGACGGCAGTGACGTAAAATAATCTGGTGTTAGATAGAGTAAAATAACAAAGTAGGGTACATTTGGGTTCATTGCAGCTCAACGGGTTAATAATAAACGACATGAAATGGACATGGTGTTCCATACTGATTATATTGAATATTTCATTGAGACAAAAATTTTGCAGTGGCAATTCAGTTTTCTAGTGACAAAATCATACTCAATAATGGTCCCATTTCAAGTGCTTCTTTTGAAATTTTTTTATAGAAATTTGATATTTACGCATTGAAAGATGGTTTACCACACTTGCCCAAAGCAAGCAAAGAAATTAATAACCAGGAGCAGGTAAGGAAGATGATTATAACTAGCGCACTAAGGGGCTGTCACGAAAAAAAATTATTACAAAACCGTGGAATTACAAACCGTAAATAATATTATGCAGAACATGCTTTTTTTGTTGTGAACAGGGGAGGAAAGGTTTAGAAGAGAACGAGGAGGTTTCCGGATTCCGTCCTTTAAAACTAGAGTTTACGAGAGAGCTTATTTAAGGCAGCCTCGTCCTCAGGCGCTTTCCTCTTACTTCTCGACCTCGTTTCCAGAGTTTCAGGCAGCCGTGAAGCATTGGGAACGAGGTTGTTTACCTCTACAAGAGGGAAAGAGCTAGGAAAGAGACTGGGAACGAGGTTGAATTTAAGGTATTTTATGTTTCATGAGCTTTAAAGCTCATCTAATAAGATCAATACAAAACAGCTATTATCCAGTGAAAACGAGCCAAATTTTAGTTTTCTACGTGTTGACCTGTGAATTTCCTAGATAGTATTTTAACTTATTTTATTGTATGCTAAAACACGAATATATATAACTACATAAAACACATTTATTCACGTTTAGATTCAACTGAAACACGAACAAAATAAAAATAATAAGGTATGCGTCTAACACCTGTTTTCCACCTTGCTTAAAATATTTTATGTTAAAAATTAAGGCATTCAAATATAGTCATTGTTAAGCGGCAATGCGCCCTGATGCATCTTATTTTATAATATTACTCTGTCGTCTAACGCCAGTCGATTTTACTCGTCAAGAGGAGAGCGCTGGTGTTCAACGGGTTAATGTAACCGAACTTTATTTCTGCCATGTTTAGAAAAAAAGCATAGGAGAAACGCTTCCACAACTACTCAATAAGAAGAATATAATCAAATCATCATTTTATAAATCTGACACAAATCAGGTATGTCCATGTACTATGTCTATAATTCTTTGTTTTCTGGGAAACTTTAAACGTGTCAGTTGTTTTCCAGAAAAACAAATCAATCATTTAATACGTCAATAGCGTTCCACCACAATTACGTCATTGTGCAGGTAAACTGATAATCGTTGCCCGATAATCATGTTTTCTATCTAACAAATGACGTTGTCAAATTTGTTTCCAGATAAAAATAAGTTCGTATCTCAAGTTCACTGACTACCTAATGTCCTAAAGGCCATTCATTTTGACTTCTGAGAAATTAACTGTGCTGCCCATGCATACAGAAAATTGTATGGTCGATATACGTTGGGCAAATTTGCAACGTAAGTTGGACAAAAGATGGGGGAAATAAATCGAAAAGCAAGAAATATGTAAGATAATAGTCGAAATGTAAGATAATAGTCGTAAAAGTAAGACATATGTAATGTGGCGAAAAATGTTAACCCCTTCGAAAATGTTAGCCTCCCACCCCCCTTTGTCTCTCCCATAGAGGAAAATTTTGGAAGTTTAGCACGGAAAAAATTTATTGGTCGGGCAATATGCATCAAGGTTAGGTAAATTTCTGTCCACACCCTCCCCCCCCCACCCCTCATTTTTATTTCTCGTGGCCTATGGACTGCACATAGATATAGGAGATCTAGATTGCTAACGTATACCTAGCGCAGGCGGGGCCTACATGATAAATCCAAGATGGCGGTACAACAGGGCAAAAAGACTATAGATTCTATTACGAAAATCAGGATTTTTGCATTTTTTGCCGTCGCATTGTTTTGAAACTTATTCGGTCAAATTTTATGGTAAAGAGAAACTTACCGCGAAGATTTTGAGCATATATATATGATTGAATTGGATGAAAACTCGCAAAATTATCCATCGATAAAAGTTCGTGTATAGTACTGATATAGTACTATATATGTAACTTGTACAGTTTTGCTTTAATTTTTGCTCACTATTTGCATAAAAAGCAAATTATAACAGACCATAGATGATAGACCCTCATCCAGTGCTCTCATTAGTTTACTTCTCTAACAAGCAAGGAGGGGGAGGGGGGGGGGGTACATAACAGTTCATTTTTCATAATTATGAGGACAGAGAAGATGATGATGAGAGATGCAAGTATAAAACACCATTCACAAGGCTAGATGTTAACATAGCACAGTATTTCTGGCAATAAAACGCTCCAACTGACCAACTGACCATTTCACACGAACTTTTATCGCTGGATAATTTTGCGATTTTTCATCCAATTCAATCATATATATGCTCAAAATCTTCGCGGTAAGTTTCTCTTTGCCATAAAATTTGACCGAATTAGTTTCAAAACAATGCGACGGCAAAAAATGCAAAAATCCTGTTGTACCGCCATCTTGGATTTATCATGTAGGCCCGGCCTGCGCTAGGTATGCGTTAGCAATCTAGATCTCCTATATCTATGGGACTGCATGTGACTTACTCGCCATTTGAAAACTATAAATAACAAACTCTTTTGTTGTAGCAGTTACCCTTGGCAATTACATAGAGGCAGAACTATTTTCACATTCTAAATAAATGCAGCGCAAATATTTCGCAAAATTGTCCGCCAGACCGCCACTCAGGCTCACATCAAATTAACTGTACTGCCCCTGCAGAAAATTGAAAGGTCGACAAAAGTTGGACAAATGTCCAACGCCGATAAGTTGGGCAAAAAATCAGAGGAATATATTAAAAAGCAAGAAATATGTAACATATAATAGTCGAAAAAGCAAGAAATATGTAATATAGCGGAAAATTTTAACCCCTTCGAAAGGATTAACCTCCCCCCCTATTTCTCACCCGTAGTCAACAATAATTTTGATCTATGGACAAGCACATATGATTCACTCACTACTTGAAAATTATAAATAGCGAACGATTTCGCCAGCAGTCACCCTTGACAATTACACAGGTAGAGCTATTTTTCACATTCTATAGCTACATAATTGCACTGCCAATATTTCGCAAATCAGTGTCTGCCACTCAGGCTCACATCAAGCAGTTTCAATAAGTACCGCCTGTGGTAACTGGCGAGACGATTCAATTAACTCAATACGAATATTTGATGTTGTATTCGTAGAGTTTTGTGAAATTTACACTTGTTATAATAAGAACCTCGAATCAATAATTGATGAAATCATGAAATGCGTAGGTGTAGTGTTGAAACATTTTCTCGTCGAGTAAAAGTTCACACGGAGATGTATATGATGTGAGATAAACGTATAAAGCGGGGAGGAATCACTAAGAAAATGTGACAGTGTTGACCAGTTTGCAGTGACAGACCGACCTCATTGTCAAGTGTAGAAAAATAATAGTGAGCGGCCTTTTTTATTAAGCAACTTTTAAGTTAAGCACATTTTCGTCAACACGGATGTCACCTGAAAATTGGTATATCTAATTTTGGCGGCATTTCATATCATAGCGCTCTGTAAGAGGGCCCTGAAGGGGTAAAATGGGAACTGGAATTGATCTATTTTTAGACTGGGAAAATGGGATTTGGGTTGCTGGGACTGGGATTTGGCCACGGGGAATGGGAAATGAAGTCCTCAAGAATGGGAATGGGATTGAGGTAATGCGTGTCGATTCCCATTTGAGTATTTTAAAATACAATTTTGATCCGTTTTTGGTGTCTTTGGTCATGATTTTTGTTGTTAACTATATTATTCACAGCACTACCTGCGAACAGTCATACTCTGGCGCCCGGAAATCTGGGTTTTCTGATTATGCGTCTCAGAATGCTGCAAATGCCATTTCCGGGATTCAAATTTAAAAATTTTTCGTGCCTTCGGCACAAGCCCCCCCCCCCCTTACTATTTCATAAAGTGTCCGCCACTTGCTTAAAAGGTCTTAAAACTGTTTATTCTACCGATAAATAAAGGGGTTTTTATTGACTGGGATTTCAATAACTGGGACTGGGATTTCTAATAAAAATCCAACTGGGACTGGGATTTTGCCAAAATTTCAGGTGGGAAATGGGATTGGGACCCCCCCCCCCCTTCAGGACCCTCCTGTAAGATAGCAAAAAACTATTATAATCTTGCATTTTGTAAGATGTGTTGAAGATTACAACAAACACAGCTTTTAATCCATGCACCTAAGCAATCTGACGTCCATATTGACAAAAAACGTGGTCTGCTTAAGCTCGCATTATTCTGTTTCTGGTCAGCACGCGTCATTTTATATCAAACTGCGTGCGTCAACGTTTTTTTTATACGATATAATCTAGAGCAGTCTGTGGCCGATTGCGAGAGATACAGCTACTGAAAAATATTAGGTAGTTGTATCTTACTCAATTCGCAGCTGCCCTTTTTTTTGCCAAGACGCAGGAATCGCAGAATTCGTTTCCTGCCAGAGGAGGGCCTGTATAGTTCCCGCAACTGCTCCTGGTTATAGTCTAATAAATGTATAAAAAATGACAGTCGAAATTTCCTCTAACAAATCCCTTCATGCAGTTTCTATCGAGTGGGATGCCCGGCCAAAATGCTGACATTTGGAAAGCATTCTTTGTTATACATTTTATTATCTTATTTATTTGAACAGTTTAATTTATTTCTATAGCAATTCTCATTTTATTCTATATATTAGACCTGCAGATATACACTTTAGAAAAATACTTTCCCACTTCTGGAAAAAAGTCCCCTTAACTCTTAAGAAAACGCTTGAAAACTGAAAAGCTTGTTGCTGTTTACATGATAATTTTGACATGTTGAAATAAGACACGGTTCATGACTCAGCAAAACCCCATCATTTTTCCCAGGGCCGGAACTACTTGGGGGGGGGAGGGACGCGCGTGTGTGTGTGTGTGTGTGTGTGTGTGTGTGTGTGTAGGGGGGGGGGGGTTACACCCAAAGAAAAGTAAAAAAGGGGGCCCAACTTGCCCAGATGGGACCCCGGAATGTTGGAAATGCGGAACGTGTTAAATATTAAGGAATTTTCTGAAAAATTGAGTTCGGCGAAATCGGCACGGCCCTGTATTTTCCTAGTGATAGATTATAGTATAATTAAGCAGTAATAATAATCGTTCTGAACTACGAGATCTTCTCATCAACATTTCAGTTCCTTTCAGTACGAAAATGTTCGGCAGCGCGAGCAGCACCGATGTCAGGAAATTTTTAATAAAATATCTTCGCAGGCAATTTGCTTACATCCAGCAGGACATTTTTTGTCATCTTATATATTGAAATGCCATACAATTTACTTGTCGATTTAAAATTCCAGATGTATAGTAATCAAATTGTCAATCAGATCGATGATAGTAGTACAGCACACTATCTGAAACCTATCTATGTGGATTTTGCTGCCAGGAAGAAAAATCTTTTTTTCTATATAGGCCGGGTTCCTTTAACCGCCGTTTGAAGTTTCGTTTAAGCCGTATATAGTGATTTATTTCAATACATCAAAATCATCCCGCCTTCCATCCCATCCCAGCAAAGCCGGATTATATATATATATATATATATATATATATATATATATATATATATATATATATATATATATATATATATATATATAAACTGTCCCTATAAATGTTCCTACTAATTCACAGTGCCACGCATGCAGTATACTTTAATCATGCATTTGCGCAATTCAAATTACGTCTGAAGTTTAGCGACGTGTTGTTTGTGGTCGACGTTCACATTGTGATTTTGTACTCATGCTAATGTGTTTAATGAGATCACGTTCGGTTGAAAATGGATGTGAAAATTAGCGAAATTAACCAGTTTGCTTTGAGATAAGCTCATTTGTGGTTTACAAACAAACTTCTCGATGAACTTACAGCTTATAAAGAGATTGCCCAAAATATTTGGGGCAGTTTTAATTAACAATTTTTGAGCTCCTATATACAGCTAATTTGATTAAGGTTGTCTACGAGCAAAGCGGAAAAGTCGAATACGAGCGCGAAAGGCTGCTGGGAATCGCTTTGAAAATTCATTAATTTGTTTACGATTCCCAGCAGCCTTTCGCGCTCGTATTCGACTTTTCCGCTTTGCTCGTGGACAACCTTAATTGAAATAGCTGTATACATGTATATGAAGGGATATTGAACAATCTTCAAATGTGCAAAGCTCTACAAGACCCAGTGTTGGTCGTTTCTTGTGATGCTCCAAAAAGAAACCGAATCGGATTACCGCAAAACTTAAAGAGAAATTATGGGGATAACAGGGGATCATGAGGAATAAATCAGTGAGAAATACTGTAACCCCTCACGGAAATTTTACGTCTCATTTCACATGTCAAATGTTATCTGCAATTGCAACGTCTCACATGTAAAATAGCTTATTTCATATTGGGAATCAGTAAGCATTTTCACATATGAATATTCGTTCACATCTGAAAGTGAAAGTTCATAAAATTGATTTTATATGTGAAATTATTATCTCTTATGTGGAATTGTAACAGTTCACATATTGAAACCATACTATGAGAATTTTTTGTAGGGGACGCCCCCTCACCATCCTAAATATACGATGCATGGTGTTGGCAACATCGTCATCGTAGTGTTTATTTGTTACATAATTGAATGTGTGTATACGCACAGAAATTTTCAGTCTATGACAAGTGTTTGTTATTTGGAGGGGGCTAATATCCATGAATTTGATGCCCGACGTATAATTTTATTTTTAAACCTAATATATTTCCTTCTTTCTTCATGTTTTTATAACATCGCTTCTCTTTAATCTTTTCCTCATTTTTTCTCCAAATTTTCACAATTTTTAAGTAGAATTTTTAAATTTTTAGGTAGGGTTACAGTAGCTAGACAGGGACATATTTGAGAAGGGTTTGATATAGGATTTACAGCACATGCGATTCATTTTATCTTAGCAGTAACACGCCCACGATCAGATTAAAGCGCACAGCGGAATTATCTTTTTTGAGTCAAAACAGGAATTAAAAAAATCGAGAATATAACGCTCAATTTATGCCTATTGTTTCATTCAAAACCTTTCCTACAGAATATATTAAATAAGCAGACATGCTTTATTGCTTTCATCAAAATTGAAAATGAACTTTCGAAATTGGAATGATTATAACATTCTCAATATATACTGGAAGGTACTATATATAGTTACATTACTTTGAGCTATCCTATAAATAATATTGTAATTTGTTCTGCTTGTTGAAAAAGAGGCGAGTACATCTTTTGTTCGATTCATAACACATCCTTGCTAACAAATTAGCGTTGTCTGTCGTCAGTATACAATTTTGAAAGGCGGCATATTTGTACAGAACTTAAAACGATCAAATTCACAAAAACATGCAAATTGAGAAAATGAATTTCGTAATTTCGATTTGAAATTGCGCAAAACATTCGTTAACGGATAAACCGTGCAATTCTTTTCTGCTGCGACTGTAGTCGAGCATAATAAATTAAAGGCCAGGCCATATGGTTTTGAAGGTCAATTAAAGTTATAATGGCATCGATTCTAGTTGCGAATTTAATTGCATCTTCGAAGTTTTCGCTTGAAATGGGAACTGCGCACCGAGAGATGATCTCACATCGACAAATGTATTCTAATTAAAACTGCTTCGAAAAAGTACGTGGTCTATCGTATGTGCTGGGTTGCTAGATTTGAATATTTCTGCCTAACTAGGCCATTAACATTGCAATAAGCGACTGAGGCAATTTGCAAATTGTTTGCCCGATATATAGCATTGTGCGGTGTCAAAAAACGAACTTAATTAATGCGAAAGAGGGCGTCTATAATTCACCTGGCTTTTTTGCCAGTTATGTGTCAACGGACGATTAATATTTCACATGACATCGATCGCAACTAACGTCAGGTCTCTCCAGAGCGGCTAGTCGTTCTGGAGTCGCGAGGTAGAGGCATACTACTTCTCATCTCAAATAAAGTCGATCTTGGCTGAGAGGTTACATCGACTGTATATAAACACACATTTGACGGCGCCTGTCATTATACACATGTCACACGTGAGAGGAGGTCTTCGCGACGCAAAAGGCTGAACGTTCTCGAGCACTGTGGTTAGCCGAAATAACCTCATGTTCCGTGCAATGCACTACAAAGAATTCAAGCAACGTATTCGCAGACAACTTGGTATGAAAAAACATAGAATTCTACGAGAACACGCTTCCATATTAGAGCGAAACACGTACCCTAGCAACCGACGTATAGAGAAAACACAAGTTAAACGCGAAACAGAAGAAACTCAAGCGAAGACTCATGACGCTAGATGCGTACAACAAAACAACCATGTCCAAAAGGTCTTGTATCACTTTTTATAATATCGAAATAAAATCAAATGCATCGAATTTCAAATCCGTTTTAGAAATATAAAAAACTCGATGCCAGCAGTTTTATCTATGGAAATGTCGCAATGTAAATTTCGCATTTAGCACTATATAATACGTTCGAAAACGTTGCGAAATTCGCAAGATTTCATATGTGCATGTAATTTTTGTCGTGATAAATTTTAAAAGAGATCATTCTGATCTCAACATCAACGCAAACGATTAAAAGATTAGTATTTTTTTCATTGCTTCTTAAAATTTTATGATAGAGTAACATATTCATATCTACGATATTTGCATGATTTTTTAAATATATTGTTATCATTTTTTGGGTGTTTGTTACAGCCATATAGGTTTATGTAGCTTATCTTTAATGGCCAAAGGCCGGTGAGACAGAATTTCAATTGGGTTTGTTTTATTTTTCGCCCCATGCACCGTTTCCAACGCTGTCAGCCAGACAGGTGCATAATTTGTTTACTTTTCTCGTTAAATTGCGAGAAATATTAAAGTTTGATATCGCCTTCAAGGGATTTTATTTGTATTAATACACTAAATTTTTACCCTAAAGTTTCATAAGAACTTTCAGTTCAGCCCAGAGACAAAGTAAACTTGTTTAATACATCCATTTCTGTGTAATCCAGCTTGCCAATAAACGTAATATTATATTGCTCCCATGTCAGAGATGTGCATTATGCATATATAATCGCGGAGAAAAAACTACAGCTGCTTTTTGCTGGAAAATATACCGGTTTCTCAAAGGCCTTCAAAAACGTCTGACAAAGTCATACAAATTTTATTCGCCACTTCGAAATTTCCAAAAGTTTGCTACTTTCGTTTCAAAATAGAGCCGTAACTGTGCCTGTGATGTTGCAAATTCAACTTCGAATTTCATTAAAAGTTTGTTTGCTTTGACAAAAAAATTATTTCACAGCGCAAGGTAAATAAAAGCAATACAGCTCAAGTGCAAATGATTTTAGTAATTTATATATCATATTTCTTTAATATTTCTCTTGCCACGGGGTAAAATATTCCTAATATAAATTAAAGAGAATGAAATATCGCATATTGGGAATTTTAAAATGGAAGACCTTTAAGTTCACAAATTTTAAAACAAACGAAGCGATGTGCCGAACAATTTCGACGAATTCGTTGGTCAAAATTTGTTATAAAACCTAGTCTGTTTTGTTGCTTAAAGTGATAAAAAACCCGGCTTGCCAACTGTGCAATACTGCATGAAATTTACCCTAGGCCAAGAGTTATATTACTGTTATATTTTATAATAATAAGGTAATATAGAACTGTATTGACTATAACTATATGTATATATATCAGTAACATTTATCCATTAAAAACGTGTTATTCGACATGTTCAACATGCAGTTATATATAGCTATCCTTATTTCCATTCAATAACCATTTCACTTTTATCTTTATAATGACTATGGAAATAAGATGTATATATTTTTAGCATTAATAATGTTGTTTACAATATTGCAACCGATCCTGCAAGTATAGTAGTATGACCGCTCTCCATAGGATACTTCACAGAAATATGTGTATCCTTCGTTTTTTGAAGAGTTTTTCTATATAGCTCATGTATAGGTTTACATGATAACAGATTTTAAGAACAAGTTAGGGGCAAACGTCTATTTAGTCAATCTACTTAGAATAAAACCTCAAAAACAAAGAGTATACCGCATGATTATCAGCCGGTTAATTATAGATGATATGCAAAGATCAGACGTGATGATCTTTGACGTTTTTCTGACTGAAATGACGTTTTTCCTATCCAAATTTAGTCTGTAAAACGTGCACATTTTTCTGAAGAATTCGTATGTGAATTCGTATACTTGCTTAATGTGTGCCATCAAAATCATCCTTCCTGCAGAAAAGCCCTTGGATTGACAGGTTTCATTTGAACGAGGGTCGCATTGACGTCTGATTACAGAACGGCTCGCTTTGCTCAAGGAAAATTTGCAAGTTTAATCATATTTCATGGGATGTATTCGGTAGCACTTATAATTATCGAGGAAATTGAGATTATCATGGCCGATGAACGAGGATGCGAGTTGATGAGAGTTGAGAAGCGAGAGTTTGCATGAGAGTTTTCTAGTAAACTCTCATGCCGCGTTTTTAAACGAGAACAAGAATTGCCCGAGAGTTAATGTGAGTTGACTGGATATTACCGCGCGCGCGTATAGCGAAGAGTCTGCGCAAACTCTCATTGAAATTTGAATCAGTTCAAAGTTGATGAAAGTGCACGAGAGTCGATAAGTCAGTTGGCGGTCAATCGGCTCTCGTTTGACCAAGGCTTTGTATACCAAAATTATTTGACCGGCAGAATATCAATCTGATCGTGTACATGCAGGGAATTGGCCTGTTTTCCATAACAGCCGCACGTGAAACAAAAATACACTTCGTTAAATATCAACCTGAGATGCACGAGGCGTCATGGACAGACTTAGCGACTTGATTATTGTAATTATAGTGTAATATAGGGCAAGCGGTGTACCCACTGCTGAGATTAGAGTCGCCCTAATGAAAGTTGTATCAAGGTTTTGGGTAATAGAGTCAAGGTCAAACACTCAAATCTGCATGCAAAAGACTTTATAAAGATTTTTCGAATCCAAAATTTACCGCTTTGACCGGAATTGCAGGGCTGCAGATTCGATTGCTGCCTATATGATCCCTATCAGTATAGTTGCATTTTGCGCAGCTGCTACCAGTCAGATCTACAATATGTATGTAATTTTCACTAGAAATTTCCATAGACAAAAACCCTTCGACATTCTGAGAACAAAGCCAACATTTGACTACATATAAATACATATAACCTTCGAATCCGTTATTTATAATCGTAAAAATAAATTCAGTAACAGTGTTAACAGTCTCATCAGTTTCATTGTAATATTTTTAAACAGGCACGGATTTTCTGGGGGGAGAGGGGGGTGCGCACCCCGCAGAAATTATTTGCTCCCCCCCCCAAGAGGCATTTGGCATCGCCCCCAAAAGTTTTTGCACCCCCGCAAATTATATATATTTTGATTTGATAGTTTCATATTTGATTATTCTTACTACTAAATTTGTAAAATTACCAATACCTCAGCTGCAAGTAAGGATGATTAGCACATCCCACTTACATCCTTACGCCAGCCGAGTCAAGGGCCTGGGAGTAGGTCTAGACTGGCGTTACCTAAAGCCTGCCGCACACGAGAGCAACTTGCTGAGCTAACCGCCTCGCGTGGCAGCTAGCTTAGCTATGTATTTTCACCGCACACGTTGAGAAAACTACTCAACAACAACATAAATGACAAAATCATTTGCATTTTCCTCCATTTTGTTCCAAGTCACATGAAGAAACCATGGTTTGTCATTGGCTAATTGATTCAAGCAGCTCAGCACTTAGCTCACAACATCCGCAGACGCTGAGATTTTTTCCTCGCGAGGCGAAAAATATCAAACACGATAGATATTTTCCTCAAGACCTCGAGAGGTCAAATCCACACGAAAACTATCCGGACACGAGAGCTACTTGCTGAGAGCTCAGCGAGTTGCTCTCGTGTGCGGCGGGCTTAACTTATCATCGCCTTTCCATCGTCGTTTCAGTTTGCATCAAAACATTTGGAGACAAGTTGACGACATTTGAACAAGCAGAAATCTTGGATTATCCTGAAGTATGTCGCCTGGAAGCCCATGTAATAATGGTATGGATTACTGACCTCATCGGGTTTGACTGTGCAACATTTGACGATTACGATCATTGAACACGCTCCGCCAACATTGTCCATTCAACGGGGCTTTAGGCGTTGCTGTCATGGGCCCTGGAAAAATTTTGAAAATCCATAGAAGGCCATAGAATGGAAATTGTATGGACCTTTATTGGAAATAGAATGGATTTTGATCATCCATAATAATTGTATATTTCCATACCATGGATATACTATCGAAATAGTATGGATATACTATGGATTTAGTGGTGCAATTGCAAATTTCGTAGTATGGATTTTACATTTTTTTCCCAGTGTGGGCTAAAGTTGAACTCTCCAACCTCAAGCACCATTTATTTTTCAGGTTACGATGATGAACAAGGCAGCTATAAGCGTGTGACAAGAGATCATCTCATGTCATCACCATTATCATCATCATCACCATGGCCATTCACCAATCACCATCATAAGTACCAATAATTTTTGTAATTATTATTTTCAAATTCCCTCTTTCGTTTCTAAAGATTTCACCAACAAGCACTTATTGAAGTTAAAATTCTGGATCACTTAAAAAAGAAGGTAGACCATGCATGCCATATAAATTTAACTTGCAATCAGTAGCATAGGAAGATATTTAAACTTAGGGGTCATGACATCTAGGGGGAGGGGCAGATAGCATGCTCCCCAGAAAAATTGAGGCTCAGAGATGCCATTTCCCGCACTTTCTGGCACAAGATTGAAGAATTTTGTTGTTTGCAAACAAAATTGTTTGTTGGAGGCTATAATCATGAGGATAATACATGGATCAGGAATCCCACACATGTGATTTTACCGTACCATTCCCACACGTTAGTAGGCAGTTGGCACGAGATGTTTAAAATGCGCAATTTGTTAAATGCGAAATCTTACATGGATGGTGAGGTAAAATCCATGACTTGCACGATTCCTGATCCATGTATTGAAAATAGCAATGGAAAAAAGCTCGTGCTTTTTCAACAAGACCTTACCTATTCAATTAACCCATTGATGTGTAAGACAAATAAAATCGACTGGCATAGTGGCATTTTTTTGACTGAGTACAATAATACAGTTGGGTGCGATTGGGCGCATTTCAACTCAATGGGTTAATCAATCTTTTCTACGATATCTGTATATATATATATATCTGTATATATATATATATATATATATATATATATATATATATATATATATATATATATATATATATATATATATATATATATATATATATATATATATATATATATATATATATATGTAGTACAACTTATCAACTTATTAATCTATTTTTAGTGGGTTAGCTCCCTGTCACCTACGGGGCTGAAGCCCAACAAAAAAGGATGCATTGCAGCTGATGGGCTGAACT